CAACTGTACTGAATTCCTTTATTATTATTCAATTTATAAAAGCTTTATATTATGATGTTTTTAAATTTGAGAGATATTAAATATTTTTAAAATTATATTAAAATATTAAATGATATTTATATATTTTTTAAACATATCAATAATTTTATTATTAAAATTAATAGACTGTTCTATATATAAAAAAGTATAAAATACTCTCTCATTTCTCTTAACATCCCAAAATTTACCTTTATTATAAAATTATATCTAACACGATCACATTTGCAGTAAACAATGAAAGTCTATGTTAGAATGACTTTCACGTTAGAATCTTAGTATTGATGATCCAAGGAAAGAGTTTCTCTATCAATTTAGTAGCATTTTGTAACCAAACTACTAACCAAATTAACGTGAGAGATGTAAAAAGGATGAGTGTGAGGTATGAGAGATTTAAAATAAATGTCTAAGTTGCTGCAATTAAGTTATTTTTAAAGGGTTTCAAAACCCTAATATGTTTTTATAATTAGATTTCTCATAGGTAAACAGATTGTATAAGATCATAAATATGATCGTGTATATGGCTCGAAACATTCTTATATTAGCTGTTAAAGTATGAACATGTTAACTATAATAAAATCTTATTTTTTATTTATTTTAGACTCAAAATATATTAAAAAATTTAATTATATTATTTAATATTAGACTGCACAATTAATATATAAATTAATGTAAAACTTAAATACAATAATAGTCAAATATAAATACATAGACTATAAAAACATGTTAAAATACATAATTATCAATTAGCTCCTCCACAAATGTTTTCTATTAAGCTTCCTTTTCTGCTTTTTCCTTTAGTACTTCAGCTACCTCTCTTTCAATATTTTTAGCTTAAGCCTCTGCATTCACCCATATTTTTGTCCATAAGATTGTTACTCATCAAACATTTTGGTACTTAATTCTTAAAATATTTCATCTACTTATTCCTATCTTTCTTTATTCTTCTAACACTATCATGGCCGGTAATTATTATCAATTACTTTATCATTACCATCGAACACTTCTCTAAGAACTTAACAACTACTCTGTCTCTATGCTCAGTTCCTTGTACGAAAATCTATACTGAAATGTCTCTATTACTATTAATAATTTCATCTCTATTGCTATGTTGTTATATCATTTTATTATTGGTATGTAAACTTTAGAGACCGAAAAAACATAATTCTAATTTATATGAGTAGTCATGTCCAGAAGTAAGTAGTATTATACAAAGCTCCTAAATTTTCTTAAATTATTGAAGGATATTACAAATCAAAGGAAAAATGAAGGTCTAAGTGGAAAAGTCTTAAACAACATAATTTTACATATAAATCTGTTTCACCACTTGCTTCTTTTTGTAATCATCTAGTCCATCAAATGAAGGGTCATCATTAAGCTCTAAGTAAGATGCTGCAGAATACAAGAGAAAAGGAGCCTTAACTCCTACTGGACACAGCATGACCACAAATACAACATAAAGATTATTAATAACATACATAATTAAGGAAACCTATAAATATAATCATTTGGTTACTGTCATTAGAGATTCATTCTCCTCCTTTTTTATTACTTAATATAAACTTTCATATTTTTCATAAATATCTATTTTTATATTTATAAAAACATTATTACATTTCATAAACATTCAAATTTCTTATAATAATTATATTTATTTTTTATAAAATTTTTCTATATTATTTTATATAAACTTATCATAATTACTTATGTTTAATTTTATAAAATTCATAATACTTAATCATTATTTGAAGTACTCAATCAAAATATTTAGTAATTACATATATTTAGTTTCACGCTAAAAATGCATTTTGTGTGTTAGAAATTACAAACTTCATTACTTTTATATTTATTTTTCTCAAATTTCGTATTATTTTTGAAATACTCTTTTTTATTATCCTTTCTTTTGTTAATTATAACAAATTTATTTTTAATATTTATATGACTTTTACTCTTCTACATTAATTCCAGTGTCATACATTTAAAATATGTATACTTTTGTATATTTATATTTTTTTTACACAATATTGTATATGTGGATTACACTTTTATCGAGATATATATATATATGATAATTAATTTAATATTTATTAGTATATTATATTTAATTGGTTCTATAATCATGTCAAATTCTTAATTTTTATGATTTTTCAATCTTTATAATGTATTAAATAAGCTACCAATATTTTAATATATTTTCCTATTTTAAAGCATTATTCTCTACATCTAAATATAGAACTGTAATTTTAGAATTTTTTTGAGATTTTTGATGTCAATTGTCAATGTGTGCATGTGATGACTTTTCTTATATCTGTTACATGAAGATGTGAATCTGTGAACACATGTATATTGTTGTTATACCAGTAATTTTAAAATTTTTTATATTATTTTCGAGGTTATGCTCTATATCATTGATTGTTATTAACTTGGTGTTTTACATTTGAATATTTTACATTGTTTTGCACATATGTTCGTCTTCTTTTTATCTTTAATTTTTTTTGTTAGAAACAAAATCTAATATGAAATTATGAATGTTGTAGCTTAATTTTTTATTTTTTTTATAATTCTAGGCAATATATATTAAATGAATTCATTTGTGGGAAATGAAAAACTAATATATAAAAATCATTTATCTTTAATACGTAATAAAATAAGTGTTTTTTTTTTAAAGTATCATAAAGTGGTGTTATTTGCATAAACTCGCTACTGGATTGAATTGTTCTACGCTTTTTAAACTCAACTTGCATTAGCTTGCTATTCAATGTAGCTCAGCCTATGTTAAGCCAAATAACCCAAATTAACAGTACTATCTGAGCAAACAACTCAACCCGAGTTCCTTGATAAGAAAAGTTTGTTGCTTTTGAAAAGTAACATAATTTAGTGATCATGCTGATAAAATGCATATTTGGATAAATAATTTAAATACAACTTGTTTTCTCTTATTTAAAATAGCAAATATTTTAAAGTAAAATATATTATTGAGATTAATTTTGACAAACATTGTAATCACTTTGAAGGGAAGTACCAACTTTTACTTTGTTATTAAAACTACTCGATGTGTTATATATATCCTTAGCCAAGAATTCTTTTTGTTTAATTTTTCAATTCATTTAACTTTTTTACCTTCATAGCCAAACGAAGAAGAAAGGAAAAAGAAGTTGATGATTCAAAATAAAATTATAAAAGATTTTTTCTAATTAATGTAATATAATCTGAATCCTGATGAATGTTAAGAACTTAGAGGGGAAGTTTTGCCGGCCATATAAAAACAAAATATAGTAAAACATTTATGTTTTTATTATGAAAGATGTTATATGATATTTTTTATTTAGATCTCACATTTTAAATCCTCTATTTTGGGATTATTTTATTTTATTTTATTAATATTTTATTATAATTTTAATAAATAATATTTTAACTATAATATATTGATTACAAAGAATTATTTTATTTAGTAAATATTCATAATACATATTATTAATAAACAATTTTACGTTTAGATTATATTTAATATTATATATATGGGCCATGTATTAGGTGAGAAAGTTCTTCTCAGGTGAGAGTGAGATGAATATATTGTAACCATATAATCTCATTATGGATGGTAGGTATTATAAGAATAGAAAAGACACATCATGAATGTGTTCCTCTCTTTCTCCACATTTATAAAAATTATTTTTAATTTTTATAAAAATTTCAAATGATGAAAATATTCTATATATTAATTGATTAGGTTTAGAGTTTAAAATGCAAGGTGATAAAGGTAGAATTGTTAGAGCTTATATTCCTTTTTAAAAGACAGAATAAAAAATAGTGTCAAACAAGTAGTTAGATTCAGATACTAGCAACTCAAATTTAACAAACCAAAACTTAGCTGCTTTAATAAGTTGACAATGCTCATTTTAATCAAACAAATTCGTGAACCATTTGTATCTATCTGAAATTGTTACACTATTTTCAAATTATGTACTTTTTTGTTAGGTTAATAACAATGCCTAACTGTATCAAGATTCAAGAGTAACTCTAACAAGAGTTACTCCAATTAATAATTATTTATAAAACATTAAATTTTATCAATTCAATCATTATATTAAAAGTTCTTAAATACATCAAAGCCATTGCAAAACATCATATAGATGCATATATACAAACTCGGATTAAGTTGTTCTACAAATAATTCATAAATATTGAAATTCGTTAATTTAACTGTTGAATTAAATATTTTTCTTAAATATACAAAATTTATATAAAAAAATGTTTTGTGCACACGAAGAAAATAAAAATATGAAGAACAAAATAAAAGTTATTTACAGTAATACTGAAAATCAAGTGCATGGAACATCACTATTTTAGAAGTGTTTAATGTATTTTAAAATTAAATTATTAGAAAATACAATAAAAAGGGTGTTATTATTAAAAAAAGTGAAAACTAAATTTTATTTGATTTGACATTAGATTACTCAATCATGTTTTCCCACATTTTTTATATACATTTTTTTAAACAATTAATTTTTTAAGATATATTCAATAGATTCTAACTGGTCACCATTCAGACTTAAGTGTATTCATTCAAGAGAGAAAAACATGTTCCTACAAGCATTGTTACATTTTTCAATTTTGATTCTATGTTTCGTCTTGCCTCAAATAGGGTTCCAATGATAGAGGGATAATGCTGCTATTATATGGTATATTATTATTAATATTAAAATTAATACATTTTGTTATTGTCTGCATCTAATACAATGATTGGAAATCGTCATAGATTGCCACATCTTAGAGACGTTCACTTTAGAACATAAAAATAATGCAATTTGACATAAATTAAGAAAATCACATAGACCTTGTGGATTTGAGAATTTCTAGCCAATTGACTAGGAAACTTCCTTGAGGCATTGCCTTAAGTGCTTATCTCATATCTATTTAAACCTTTCACCAAAACCACAATATAAGACCCGAACATTTTGTGTGCTCAACCTTTCAATTGCTGTCTTCAGAATCATTTTGGTTATCTTCATCATCATCAACCAAAAGTATTCTATCAGTAATTTCTAAATTTTCTAATAAATCCATGTCAACAGAACTGCTCGGTAATTGCCCTGTGGCTAGTCTCATCAGTATATTATAAACCATATTTGGTTGTATATGCTTGAACGTATGCTCTGAGGTGTGTTGTTGATTAAATCGACCTGGAAGCTTGGAGCGAGATTTATAACAATCACCACAAAGATCAAAACCCATCTTCTCTCTGCATTCAATGCATCTATATCTATCTCCAAGTATTGGAAACATCTGTACAAACAAGTCAAACATCACCACACTACAAAAATTGTAGGAATGATAATATTAATTATCGCTTTGAAGTAATACACAACTTTTAATACAATGCAATTACATGTGAAAGTTTTTATAACATAAAAATATTAATAATAAAACTAGTAATAAGATGAATATTTGTCACATCGTTAAGTTATTGTAGGTGACTGTCTCAAATCATATGATTATGCATTAGTAAGTTGGCAGTATGTTGCAAATCAGGAAGTTACAATTACAAGTTTAAACTAGAATAGTTTATAATTTTCTTTCTAGACATGTGAGAGTCGAAGCTCAATTACTTGTTAACACTTACAGTTAAAAAAAAAGACAAGTAACCATATATAATAATTGCTACCTATCTAGGTTAATAAAATAGATAAATTTGATTAAGTGTATGACTTACTGTAACAATATTTATTTTCGTTTGCACTCTGATCAACCAAACCCAGCAATCACTCCCCCTTCTCCCACAATATATATAAAGCATATGCAAAAATTAAAAGAATTTGAAGACAAAGCAACATATAAACACAAATACAAGATATAATGCACTAGAGCATTTACCCCGCAATAATCACAACCAATTCCAATGTGAACCTTTGATTTAAGATTTGACCACCGATCTATATTTTCTCCCTTGTTACCATCATCCAATGAACCTAAAAGAAAAAAATTCTCAATAACTAGAAGCATATACAAATAATAGAACAAATAAGCGTGAGGATTAAACTATCTATACTTCAATAGGTCAAACTATATAAAATATTCTTAAGATGAAAGATAAGTCATATACACAAATGCTTGAAGATATTATTAATCTTGTACAAGAATATAGGAAAATATACATACAAGAAGAAGGGGCCTTTGGATTGACTTCGATTTGCCTTAATTCTGTAGCATCTTTTCGTTGTCCATATTCTATAGGAAACTGTTCCTCCAAAAAGTGATCAAACTCCAAACACACTTTTGGAAATCCTCTTGGATGTGGACTTTGACAAACTTGACATCTAAGCATCTCATCAGCTATTTTAATGACACAAGTTTCACAGTGTACTGTACGAAATGATGAAAATTAAAAAAAAAAAACAATTAATATACCAATTAAGTTTTCTATAATGGATTCTATCAATTATAATTAAAAGAAAATTTAAATGCATTGAGTACCATGACCACAATTAAGAACTACAGGATGAAAGAGTAATTGGTTGCACGTCGTACACATCACATCTACAATTGATATTTTCTGTTGCAGAGAAAACTCTTCCTGAAGCAAATTTTTTCCTTCCATAGAAGTCTCAATAATGTTGTTAGGCTTTCCATCAGAAGAGTGCTCATAATTGATGATGCTTTCATCTTCTTTATGGGCAAAGGACTCTGATTGTTTCGTACATTCTGAAGTTCTCACATTGCATGAGTTGTGTGCCGAATTCATAATAGAGGAGGACGAAGGGATACTGGCATGACCAAATTTAGCTTGTGATTCACATGTATTAGGATCAAATTGAGGGGAGTAGAGGCCTGATTTCTTTTCTTCCTCTAAAGCAAGACGTGCACGAAGAAATATAGTCAAAATCAGCCTAAAAACTAAACAAAAATATTACTCTATGAAAAATACAAATTTAATAGAAAGTGATATCAAGGAAGTAAGGATAAAGTTACATTCTCAACTATACTAAGAGTACTAATAATTAAAATACCATAAAACAAATTAAGTAATAAAGTTTCAAATATCTATAAAATACTATAACACATTTCAAAATAGAGATACAAAAACTTATTCACGTTATTTTACTTTAGTCCAAGAAACATTGGTGATACTTCTATGTGATTGCTATATACTATGCATATGTACTCATTATATATTGTTGACAGTAGAGAAACAAGAGACACAAGATAGAATTACATAGCAGAAGAGATTATTTATACTAGCTATGTGATATAAATTCATGATTTTATATTTATCCTAATTATTATAATTATATTTTACTTTGTATGCCCGTTCGAATCTTAACATTGAAATATAGGAAAATTGAGCAAGGGATCCTAAATTGAGCCAGCATCACCCTTAAAGAGAATGGACTTGACACAAGTAGCCAATCATAAAAATCATGTTAACATTTATTGAGCACACACCTTAAATGAATCAACATTAATAGACTACAATTGTGAGTTTAAAAACACCATTGTATTCAATGCTTAAAACAATTAAACATCACATATTGATGTAAATATCTCTTTTTTTGATAAAGTGAATGTAAAAATAATTTTTATTTAAAAATATCAGCAAACAGAACAACATATGAACAAAAATTATCTCAAAATAAAATCTTTTTACAAAATAATAACTGTTAAAGGAATATATCACGTATATATTTAATAAGTTCATGCATAAGATATTGGAGAAAGGGACACACCAAGAATTTGATTTTCCCTTCTTTTGTAAGCAACAGAAAAAATCTTAAGAAGCAAAAAGTGAAGCATTTGGCAGACTGTTGGAAAGTGATAGTATTGATGTCTACATATTGGACATTGAGACTCACGCAAACAATTCATTGATTTATAGACACACCAGAAACAACACATGTGACCACAAGCTGTAAATAGAGAGGGAGAATGAGTGAGAATTTATCACACTAATATAATATTCATATGTATTTGTAGAAAATAATGCTTCCTTACATAGCACAATTGGCTTGTATAGCATATCCCTGCATAACAAAAGTAAAGTCAAAGTCCATAAATACATTTTGTTCAAAAAACTATATGGCTGCTCATAAAGAAACTTTAAACAATAGAAAAAAAAATTTCAAAGCTTGAGAATAAGCAACTTGTATCAGAAGAATGTTTTGGGGTCTGAAGTCAAATTTTTATTTTCCGAATACAAATTTGAAAATTTTTTTTGATGAATCACTACTTTGATTTATTCCTTTTCTAATTGCATTTGCAACATGTTCAATGAATTGTGAATTCAATTAAGATTTTAGATATACAATGCATGTATAGTTGTACACAAACGTTAGATCATAACAAAAGAAAAAGGAAAAGTTTTGAATTGTTCGCATCATTTCAACTTAATTGATGAATAAATTTCTAATTTGTTTTTCTGTAAAATAAGGGCATCCCTTACGGTCCTTCTGAAATATGAATAAGAATTCAATAACAAAATTGAACCTCGATAATCAACGAGCGAAGGGTGTTTCTCTTTCATGGCAAAGGAATTCCACAAGAAAACAAATGTTAGCAATTGAAAGAGACTTACAGACAAACGCAACAAGTAAAGGAATCGGGGATTTCTTCATATTCGTTGTCCACAAAGTTTCTAACTTCGATGTTCTCCATTTTCTAAAATGTTCTACAACGCAGAGAGAGAATGCCACAAAATTTAGGATTGCAACCATAGAAGCCGTGAAAGAATATATATTTATATTGGAAAATGAAAATGTCTAGTTAAATTTTTTTTATCAATTATAAATTCATTACATATTTTGAATGGTGTGGACACACATTGAAATTGTGATGTTTCTTTTTCTTATCCTTATAATTGAAATAATTGGGTGATGATTATCATACGATTGATAAAAGAAAATAATATTATACTACACATGTTTTAATTTATCTGTACAAAACATAAAATTTTGTTCCTATTTTCATTGATATAAAAGTTTAAGACAATATTATTTTTTATTCTTTTACTAATATGTTTTTGACCATATAAAATATTATACTATTTTAATAGTTCAAGGATCAAAAGAACACCAACTAACAAAGGATAGATTAGGAAGATTAGCAATTAATTCTGAAAAAATAATTAAATTTCCCATTCTATACAGATAAACAAAATGAACACAGTATTACCTAAGAATAAAGTGCGCATCAATGTTGTAAAAATTATAAGGATTTTTCCCCATCTATATATATATATATATATATATATATATATATATATATATATATATATCAAAAAGATTAAATTTCAAAGTATAGATTAAAAATATATATTTACAATTATAAATAAAAGTTTATGATTTTTTTAAAATATTTAAATTTAAGATTGTTATGCATGGAATGCTATTTTATTAAAATATTCAGATTTTATATGGTTTTTCATTTTGACTAAAAAACATCAAGTAAATCAATTATAAGTTATGTATATTTTTATCAAAATAAAATTAATTTTTAATATTAATTTTTTTTTCATTCTTAAACTTTTTTATTTTGTTAACTATAATTTATTAATTTATTCATGCATATAAATAAATATTATAATTTTACAATGCCATTATAATATTAAAATTACAAAATATTTACACATAATTTGATAATTAAATCTTTTCTATAATTTAATCAAATATTTTGTTGATATATATATATATATATATTATTTATTAATATTCTATTATAGATTATAAAATTTGTACTTTATATTTTTATAATTTTATTCACTACTAATGAATTATTATTTTATTTCTTTCTATGAGTATGAATTTATAGCATGTATTATAAATAATTTGTTTTAGAATGCTGAGTAAATATGTTTTATTATTAATTACTCACTCAGGTATTAAAGACTCTTCGACTTAGTACACACGCTGCTTGCGATCAACTACCAAATGCAGCTCGTCTCAGCGTGTTGTGGTCTTACCCTTACTCCATAGTATTTGGTTCTGTCGCTAATACCTTTTTCTTTGATGTTTTCAAATTCTACATTTCTGCAAATTATACCTCTTTCAATGCTTCATGAAGGCTCAAATGTTAGCTGTTGCATTTGCCACTTCTTAATAAGGCAACAACCAATTTGTAATTTGTGGGACACAAAATAGTTAAAATACAATAATCGATCTTTTTGGTATTTCTTCTCTTTGATATGTTGGAATATATTTCAAATACATTCAAAGGTATTCCTCTTGATCAATGATTCCTATACGTTGTATCTTATCAATGGTTAGGTTATGATAAAATATTAAAATTGTTGAAAAGACTAATCTCATACACTTGACTAGTTACTATTAGTCACCTAAGTTAATAGATGTTTAAAATGTTGACTAGTAATTTTATTGATTCATACAATTGAACCAACACTTTTCTATAATTTCAAAAATTGAGTTCATGCCCTTAAATAAATGGACACACACTAATATAATAAGAAACAAAAATCATTCATGAGGCTCATTCCTATTAAAAAAAATGAATTTATAAGAATATACAAATAATAATTACCAATTTAGATTGTTCGTTATGTTGCTCATATTTCATTTCATTGAGTTTTTGTTTTGAATCGAGAAAAAAACTACTTAACAAATCTTCTTGTGGTTGTTTTAGTTTGATAAAAGGTATAGCGATAATAATGGTTGTCAGACCAACATATTTATAAATGAATTATTCCTATTAATTCATGATACATGTATTTGGACAATATGTAATTCCATATGCTGGATTATGAATGGATAAGTTGTGCAGTTACCGGAGGAAGTTGTGAATTGTAGAGCCATATGGTAAATCGTTGAATAAGACTAGTACCGAAAGTTTTGATTAGATATCAAACGTTTTACACAAGTATTATTGTTAAATAATGTTGTATATGCTTAGATTATGAGGAAGCTGTATAATTGCTGGATGGGTAACAATGTATTCGCAGTGATGTATGATGGTGTTGTTGAAAGTGGTTGGTAGTGTGAGTTAGGAATTGAGTTTTAAGCATGTTGTACGTGTGATAACTTAAGAATTATAGCCAAGTACTTATGTTGTTTCATTTTAGAAAGAATTGAGAGTTTAGGATGCTGAGTGTCTCGCTCAAGTGAGACAAAATAGGATCACTCCAACTGTCCCCTCGCCCAAGCGAGAAAGGATCTCACTTAGGCGAAAGGCACCCTCGCTCAAGCGAGAGAAACTCGCTCAGGCGAGGAGTAGCAGGAAACTGCGTGGCTCTCTGGACCCGATATCGTTCAAGTGAGAACACTGGTCGCTTAAGCGAGATGTTCCTCGCTCAAGCAAGAATTGCAGAAATCTGAGAGGTTCCACTGTTTGGTTTTCTCGCCTAAGCAAGGGTGAGCTCGCCCAGACGAGAGAGAAGCTAGCTCAAGCAAGAATTATGTCGCTCAGGTGAGTGCGCGCGGATCTGTAGGGGTATTTAAAGGGTCTCAGCGCCAGAAACGGTCATTTTCTCACCAAATAGCTTCTCTCTTTCGTTTCTTTCTGTTCTCTCACTTTTTCTTCTTAGAGAAAATCTTCTCGAAGTCGAATTTCTTCCCGATTGAAGTGAGATCTTCTATCTCAGCAAGATCTAGGTGAGTTTCTGGAGCTTAGTTCTTCGTCTTTACTCTTGTTTCCTGCTTTCTCTTTCTCAAGAGACTTATACATGTCATTTTGAGTAGATCTGAACTGTTCGAGCTGTATCTCGTACTCAAACCCTTGAGTTATCTCTTTGGGAACTCATGAGAAACAAGATCTTGGAACTTACTCCAGGTAAGGGAGCTTATCTAAGCTGAGTTATTCGTTTAACAATTACGGAGTTAATTGAGAAGTTAGTCCTGTCATAGCCGAGAGTAAGTCGCTGAACAGTCAGATTCTAGATTAAAATCCAGAGTAGTATAATTGAATAGATTTCTTAGTTGCTTATCTAAGTTGTTTTGGTTCCTGAGATAGATAATTTCGTATTAGCTGAGGACCAACTATTATACGAACAAGTTTTAGGATAAAACCCAAAATATATATGGTTAAGTATATTTCTCTGTTGTATGATAATGATTTAGAAAGTTGTGATAGAACATGATGTGTTGTAATGTTGTGTTGTCCATGCCGAGGATGTTAAATACGCAAAGATACTTAAATAATATTTTAAGTGACTTAATTTTATTATGCGATAAGTGTTAGAATGTTTAAATAATACTGCAAAATGCTTAATTTTACTGTGTGTTGTATATCGAAATGCTTAGTTTTGCTGTGATAATATATGTATGGGTGTGTTGTCAATACTGGATGAAAATGAATACATTGTTGTATCGCTGAAACTGAAATTAGATTTGATTCTGCTGTACCATATAGATTTAGTTGTGCTGTACCACATTCATTTTCATTATTCCATAGCTACATAAATCGTTGAACTGTGCTTATCTGGATCTAGATACCGGGATGAGTCGCTTCTAGACCAGAACAGTTCCTCTGGATTAATTAGGTTGTGAAACGAGATGGAAACTGAATTGCTGTATTTGCATTAGATGGGCTGGGAATGGGCTGGACATGCTGCATAAATTGATTGAAGTTATTATGCTGATTGTTGTGAATTATATAAATTGTATTGATGATTTTGATGTACTCATATTCTGTAATTATGATTTTTATTTATATAAACTCACCTTTGTATTTGTTTGTGTTGTTACGTGTATGCTGCCATGATCGTACTATGGTACGTGAGCAGGAGTGACAAGTCAATTGTCTAATTTACCTGTTGGGGAGTCTGGCTAAAGAATAGTCTGGACCGAAGATTTTGGGATATGTATTTAGTTTTAGCAGTGTAGGTTTTAGTGTGAATCTAAAGTTTTGATGTAATTATCATATAGAAATTTTGTATTAGGAGCTCTACTTGCAGCCACTGTTGTAAATATATACATACTCTTATGCTATCTTTATGATATGTTAAATATCTTTAAAGTTTTACTAATGTGTTGGTTTTTATGTTAAAGTCAAAAATTTTCTTTAGAAATTATATTATTAGTAATTTATTTGTATTGACTCATAATTAAAACTAAATTGGAAGTAGTAAGTCAGAATGTCATTAATCCTTATAAAAAGGAGTCGTGGCTACTAAGTGGATACAATGAAGGAGATAGAGGTTGTGGCCAAGATCATCTCCTACATATGCAATTGGATTTGATGTTAGTTAAAAGAGAAGAGAGAATTATCAGTGACAAAAAAGAGACAAGCTTGAGGTTGTCACCAAAGAAGGCAACGTGTGGTGGTACTCACATCATCAGCACGGTAACAAATTACAACATATTAAGGATAAGTTTAGATGAGTTCTTGAGAAAAAAAATTTATAAGTAGAAAATAATTTATATTCCTTAAATTTTAAAAAATTTAAATAAAAATAACTTTATTCATTTTAGTACTTAAATTTTTAATTTATAAGTATTTATTAAAAAGTTAATCCAAACTACACCTAAGTAAATATCAACTTCATAAAATTTGATCTTTATTCTTTGCTTTTATACCTAAAATCCTATAATTTAAATATGGTATAAAAATATCTAACCTATTTATGTTGTTTTGTAGTTTTCATTAATTGTGTATTGCTTACTCGGACAATCATCTTTGAATGAGGTGTTGAAAAGTCCTGCAATGCTTACCTCAATTACTAAGATACAATATATATATATATATATATAT